GCCCCATCCCACAACCCAGAGATGGACCCTGATTCTACCACTTTCTGTTGATGAAAGCCACATACATTTCTCTAAATTGTTAAGGCTTAAACTCTCCACGAAGTGAGGGTTTTGTGAAAATTAAATGGTGCAATTTTGTAAAATGCATTAAGAGATACAGCCATATACACACTGATAATTTTTGTTCCAATCACCAGAGTTCTATGATAGGCCCTCTTTTTACTTTCTTTTCATAAATTTCTCTGATATTACACACTAATTAAAATGTGAATCTTATGCAATTGAACCTTTGTAAAAATCTGAAAGCCCACATTCTCCTCCCCATGAACAGAGCTGGTGACTCATCTTGGAGCTGATTGCCAGCCGCTGTTGGGAGATAGCTGCACTTACTTACTGTCCTTCTAAGCTTTGCTGGTTGCCTATTGGCATGATGAACACTCTAAGAGTTTCTGTTATAGGGCAAATATTTTATGCAGGGAAATATTTTCCTTGATACCTTTTTTTAAAGAAAAAACTGCTGGACATTACTCTGTAGCCCTGTTATTGCTAAAAATACATACACTGTTATTACACATTTTTTGTTATATACAAGAACTACCTTTCTGATTGCTCCTCAAGACTTGGTCTATAAGAGCTATTGATTGTGTTCTGCAAACTGCTTCAGTGGCACTTTTGGAGTGTTTTCCTAATTGTTGCCTCCACTCTTCATCCTGGGCCCCGTGAACTTGCAGAGACAGGGCAGGATGAATTTATCATCTGAAGATTCACAAGAAAGCACTTTTCATTTAAAAAGACATTGTGAGTGCCTGCATGCTTCAGAGAGAACAGACTCTCTGCTCTGGTTAGAAGACGAGAGCTGTCCTTGAGCCTGTGTATAAAAAGGCCCATTTCATGAGACCAGAAGTCCAGGTGGGCATACTCACCCAAACAAACAGTGACTGTACTTATTCCTACAAGACCTGTTTTTAATTGCCAGTTATATTTTCAAATTTTTAAAATCTATTTGAAATGTAGAGAGATGGGAGTGGGGAAATGCCCATCCACTGGTTTACTTCCCAAATGGCCCACAGTAGCTGGTATTGGGCCAAGGCTAAGCCAGGAGCCAGAAACTCAATCCAGGTCTCTCCTATTGGTGGCAGGAACCCAACTACTTGAGCTATCATCAATGTCTCCTAGGTCTGCATTAGTAAGAAGCTGGAGGCAGGATCCAGAGGCAGGTACCAAACCCAAGCATTCCAATATGGGACATAGACATGTTAACTGTTAGGCCAAATGCTCATCTCTGATTATAAAGTATTGCTTTCTGAAGTCCATTTGAATACAATTCTCACATAATAAAATAGTAAGGCATTTTTTCTCTTTCAATAGGTATGTCCAATACAATGAGATTAATGGAATCAGACTTTACCTTGTATTCAGCTAATAATCAACTTTCTATTATAATTATCACTGGCCTAACAATTGTGATGATATGATTTTTCAAATCATGATAAATATTTCCAGTTTAAACAATATTATGTGTCTTGACATTACATTTATTCTAATATTATTTCTGTACTAATTTTTCCATACAATGCATTTTTACTTACTGGTCTCATTAAAATAACTATAATGTCTCAAATAATCCCAGTCCCCAAATATACCATAGCAGAAGGCTCTGTTCTGTTGTTCACTTGACTTGTGCTCTGTTCCATACTTTAAAACTAATAGAAGAATGATAAAGGTTATTGAAATTAAGCTGCTTATGACTCCAATCGAATTTACAATAGGACTAGGAGGAGAAGAAATAATAATCAATATATTTTCAAAGCAATTTCATGTTAACTATTTTGTGTTATCACCAAATAGATTTCACTTGTCACTCTCATATTTTTACTGCAAAATCCACACACTTTGCTCAAACAATGCATACATGCATGCAAGCTCACACTTAGTCTCTTTCTTCTCCCCGCCTGATTCTCTAGATCCTTCCCTACCCCTTGCCAGTCTGGTGTTTTGTACATATTTCTAGACATCAGCGTTTCTCTGGTCTTAGAGTCCTGTTCAGATTAAGGACTTTGGCGTTTCCCCTTTCACCTTTCTCTTGAACTGATCAGATAAACTCTTTCTTTAGGGGAAAAAACAGGGCTGACCCAAACTGTTTTTTTCCCCCCTTTAATCTCAGAGTACAGCAAATTCCCTCAATTTGAAACAAAAAATGCTTTTCAGAATATGGCCTCCCTCTTCCCTAGATAGATTTGACCCAGACCCACCCTGCAAAGCAGGTACAGTCAAGTGAGGGGGTTCAAGAATCACATAATCACATAGGAAGAATGCAAGTAAGGAATCTTGGCAGGTACTGGTTTTAGAAATGTCCCAACTGGAAGATGCAGCTATAGATGTTGAACTCATAAGGCTGCTCTCGGGACTCAGCTGAAGCACAAAGAATGGGTGCTCTGCATTATGATTGCTATCATTTTGCCAAGATTTAAAGTCAAATAATGTATGAAATTTTCTTTAGCATTTGACAAATTATTCTTATGTATACTTAGATAATATGTAAGCAAGAGACCTCTCATATAAGAAAAGAGATGAATGGGCACGGTGTCTTTCATGTGTTCTGTGGCTGTTGAAAAATATGCCCTGTTGGACAGAGTGTGTGAAACTCAGTTTCTGCCTTTGCTGGAAACCCTGCCTCATTGGAGCTGGTTGGATACACAGACTCAACAGTAAAAAGCACTCGAAGAATCTGATGTAAAAATCCCACTTACGGGAATATTTTCGCATAGAAATAATCTTAATTGCTTAAAAATCACAAGCAAAATATGTTTGTTACAGGAAAATTCACAACAAAACCAGAAGCAATGTAAGCACACTGAATTCAAGAAGTAGCTAACAGGGCATTTGTGCACTGCAATAATATGCATCTGTTTTAAAGTCACACATTTTAAAGGGCATGTAATAACAAAATATTAGATATGGAAAAGTGCGGGACAAAATGGAATGCACAGGATGATTTCGACTACATAAAAATATGCATGGAGGTTAGGGAAGTCAGCACACCAAGATGGGAAGGGTGCTTGTCCCTGCATAGTGGATTTAGGATGTTTGCCTTTATGTATACTTTACTGAATCTCACATAGTTTCTGCAGTTAACAGGTACTATTTAGTGATGGATATTGACCTTATATCTAAAAGATTAAAAACTCTAACAGTCCATTTGCTAGAAAACTTGAGGGTATTCTACCACTTGCACACTATTATATTCCAGAAACTAACAGCTGTCGCTCTGTTTGGAGGATCGTCTCAGAGCTACAGAATTAAGTAAGAAATAAAGTATATCTGCTTCTCATGGTTAAACTCCTTGTTCATACTTGTATCTATCTATTTCACACTTGTATCTACCAGAGAGTATAATAATTCTATGCCCATTCAATGTGCTCATATTAGTACATGTTGACCAAAATGTTACAAAGAAATATATATTCTTAATTCAGCATATTCCTCACCTCCAACATATTACTAAATATGTGTGGAAATCAGGGCATAAAAATTTAATGGATTAACTTGAAAATATGAATATTCTGTACATTTTCACTTAAACACAGTTGTCACGTAGAGGAACACTATGAATATCTTAGTTCATAGGATTTAACAGCTGGAGAGCTTGGAAAGGAAAACCTTCATTTAACAGATAAGACAAAACAAGGGTCTAGAAAGGGAGGCGTTCACTTAAGCAAGGCAAGAATAACATCCAACATTCTTTGCTGAGGAAATGCTCAGCGTGGCTAAAAGGACTGTGACGTGAATGTGTTCCCATTACTACGGTTAGCGTGCACAAGCCGTTTGGCATGTATTGGTGAGAGATGGCATGCTCCTGAACTTCACTCTGCAGGACAGAGCCCCATTTGAGAGCTCAGCACTGTGCCTGTGTAGACCTGGACTCCAATCCAAGGGCTGCCTTTTGTGGCTACAGCACACGGGAAAGTCTCAAGGCCTCTTTCTTTCTCCCTCTCTCCTTTCTCCTTGCTTCTCTCTCTGCTCAGATCTGGGAGGGTCAGAAGAGCAGAAAATGAGGAAAAATACAAATGGTCCTAGCCCCAGGAAGTTCCTCTTTTCTGGCCAGATACAAGTGATCTTTGAGGTGGAAAAGCAAAGGTGTTTCCCATTCCTGGATGATATGCACAAAGGTGAAGTGCACTGTGAAACATCTGGGGCCCAGGACAGCCGAACTAACATTTGGTGACTTCTGTCTTGCACTTTGATTTCTTAATTATACTCCATCAACTTCAAGTTGTGATCATTTTGATTAGTTCGAATCATTCTGGGGCAGAGGTAGGGAGGTGAGGGGGAGAAGACAGCTCAGACTCATAACATTCATCTATAATGCTGATTCTCCCTATCTGATGGCTAAAAGGTCAGAATTGGTACCCAGCACGAAAGGCCAAAGTAAAAGCAGCTAATGAGAATTCTAACATCAAAACCTCAGGGGTGCCTTTCAGATCTTTGGACACATGTGGTTCATGCTCTTTGCACCTGTTTCCAGACAGCCACAGTTCCAGGTTGTTGGCTCAGGCCAGGGCTGTTTTGGGTCCTTTTCAATGCCACATAGCAAGGGTTTGAGTTTAAAGGCAATTCAGTTGCATAATGCAACAAAGGAGGGCAATCAAAATGCCGCACACTGGCTTGTCTAGCAAGCAGTGCATGTCTTTTATGCACATGAACTTCTGAATCTTGCTTTAACCCTAATAGGAGGAGACACAGCTGATTCGGAAACCATCTTTGGCTTCCATTTCAGAAAACGTAACCTGCTTCTTTTCTGTGACTCACTTTGAGACACCACACCAGGAGCCGCCTTGCTTAGGAAGAAAGCATGGATTAGGACAAGGACTGTATTTATTTACAACAAATTAAAGGGCGTGGGCTGTGAAGGCGGCAAGTGAGGACTCCCTGAATTTATGTTCTGAACCGAAAGGCACCTGTGCTCCTATGCTGATAAAATAAAAACATAGATAACTTACCCAAAGCGACTGGATAAGTTCATGGAAATACAAAAAAGAAGGAGGTTTTTGATCATGATAAAGCTAGAGAACATTCCATTGTCCATTCCCAATAAGAATAATAGCTGAAGCAGATGAATTTGGAAGAATTAACTGTTCCTTTCCCCCAAGTGGATCTTGAAGCTGAAAAGTACACAAAGGAGAAAAGCAGGTGAACATCAATGGTTCTGGGTCACTAAAAGGGACCCAAACTGCACTGCTACCAGGCAACCATTTACAAAGCAAGGAAACCTGCCCTCCACCAGCACTGACACACACCTGGTGTTTTCTGAGATCTTCACTGGGCAGTACCTTGGGGTGTAAAAAGAAGTTGCAGTAGGGCTTAATTTTCACTTTTGTTCAAGAGTGCAGAATCATTCTCATTTTTTGATGCCTCAAATATTCATTTAACTTTTTAGCATGCTATCAAACGACCCATTATGGCAATGATTAAGACAAACGCTTGAAGTTATTTCAGCAACTGTGTTTTGCATCCATCAAATCCACAAGTGGAAAATTTACCTTTCTGAAATATTTGCCACGCGTTCAAAGCCAGCAAGCTACTCCTTGTTCTGCAAGATGCTGAAAGTATGTGGAAAGAGGGGGGAAAGGTACATTTGAGAAACACATCTTCTATAGGATCACGATAATAGAACCGCCTGTAAGATAGACTTGACACTTTATCGGGTGTCCTGCTCTCATGACGAAATAATTTAATAATCCCTGCGTTTGAGAAGGTCTCTCATTTATGTGCTGGGCCCTAATGAATGCATTTGAAATCCAGGCAGGCACCATTCCTGGGCTCAGCAACTAACCTCAAGCGAAGGCACATATTTCTCCGTATGCGCATAACGCAAATAGGTGCTCATGGTACTCGAAACACCGACTGTGCAGAAAAGAACATTTTTCCCGTAGGAGACCCCGGCAAACTCCGGGACTGGGAAACACACAACAGGTACTTCAAAGCTAAGGCCCTCTGCCACTCTTGCCGACAAGGGCAGGGTGGCAGACGGTGGTCGTGGGGGTGCGTCCTGGGGCTCGTCGCCGAACCCAGGCCACTGTCCCGGTGGCGAGCACGCGGCGCTGCATGCGGGAAACCCGAGCACCGCCTCCTGCCACCCCTCAGCCCCAAACCACCGACCCTCAAAGAAAGGCTGCGCTCCCACGATCCCCGGACCCGAAGGCTCGCCAGGGCTGGTGCGCCGGAGCAGGTGGGCGCGGAAGCAGCACTGCGGAGCCGCAGCCTCGGCCGCCCCGGCACCCGCGGCCCCGCATGGTCGGCCACCCGCCCGGTCCGCAGCAGCTCGCCGGGCATCTCCCGCTCCCGGGCCCGCCCCGGCTCGCTCCGGACCCTCGCAGACCTCCCCGGCTCTTGCCCGGGATCCCAGCCGAGCGCTCCGCCCGGCAGCGCCTTCCTCCACGGCTGGGAGCGCGCGGTGCGGCGGCGGCTCCGAGTCCCTTTAGCCTCGAGCAGCCCGCGCGACCAGCGCGCGACACCCCCGCGGGGCCCGCGCCCACCGCGGGAGCAGCACTGGGACTCCGAGCTCCTCGGAACCCCCGGGCTGACAGGGGCTTCCCAGGTGGACGATTTCACCCCTTTAGCTCCCGCGACGGCGACGGGTGTCCTCCACCATCCAGATCCTAGGGGCCGGCCCGTAGGCGCTGCGCCTGGTGCCGGGTCCGGCAAGGCTGCGCCTCCCAGGACGCCCCCCTGCCCTCCCTAGCACAGCGTCGCCCCCGCAGTCGCCGGGGGGAAAGTTTGCGCTCCGGGCTGGCCACCGCGCCCCGCCTGCTCCCCACCTCGCCTCCCCGGCCATGCAGCCCGCGGCTCGCGCGCCCCGAGGGTAGAGGTGTGGGCCGATCTGGAGCCGCCCGTCCTGGCACCACTGCCTGCATCTTCTTACCCCACTGCCCGGGTCCGGCGCCCGGGGCTCACCCTGCGCGCCGGCCCTGGGAGGCGAGCCGTCGGCGAGGGTGCATCCTCCTTCTCCGCCGCCTGCTCTCGCCCGGCTGGCAGGCGCGGAAGGCCGGTGCGGCGTCACCGCCCCATGCTGCCAGCGCGAACTTCCCCAGTGCTTCCGGGCGGAGTGGATCTGGCGCCCCGCGCTCCCGCCGCTGCCCTGCGGCTCGGCTCCGCGCCGCGCCCGAGGCCGCGCGCTGCCCCTCTGCAGATCCCCCCGGCGCCCCCGGCGCACTCGCGCGCTCGCTCTCACCTCTCCTGAGCGCCACATGTCGTCTCCGGGTGTGCGGAGCGTCCCCTCTGCAGAGGCGCTCCGGTAGAGGCCGCCAGACTCTCACCAAATGCGCCCTCGGCCGGGCGGAGCAGAGGGGGAGGGCTCAGGGCCCCGCGGCTTGGCCTGGCTCGGGATGGGCCACATGGCCTCTGAAGTTTCTCAGGGCCTGGTTCAAGAGATGATTTGATGCTTCTTGGAGTAACCACAGCCCCCCAACACCCCCCTCTTTAAGGCCTAGGTGGACAAGTGGAGTGGGCAGGCGCAGCTGGTGGCACGGAGGCCCTTGCTTCTAGAGCTCTGTTTTAGGGCCAGCCCGACCACCGCCCTAACCTGTCCTCAAACCTTCGGGGTCCTCAGCGGCATGCCTAATTCTCTTCTATGTCCTTTTGATGTTATTCGTGGGTGACAACTCACTGCTCTAGGCGAATAGCCACGGTGAAACCGGAGTGGATCCGAATGAAACCCTTCCTGAAGAAGTTCCATGGCTTGACTCGCAGTGTCACTGGGAAGGCGCCCCGGCTCTCCGTGGTCCCAGTAGTGACCCCGCGGCCTCCACTTCTTGGCGCTGCCTCCGGTTCCACGGGGTGCTGTTGGCGAGACTGCGCTGGTCTCCGTCTCAGGGGTGCAGTTCTGGAGAGGTGAGGGTGGCGCTGACCACCACTCGGCAGAAATGGGGCTGCTCCAAACAGCGCGGACAAGGCGGGTGATGAAGCAACTGCCTCCTAAATTTCAGAATTGCAGCATCTTGTTCTGAGGACACTCACAGACAAATGTTCAAGACTTCGAGTAAAACCATCCTGAATATGTGGCGGTTTGCGTTACTGTTCTACACCTTTGGGGAAACTATGGTTTATGGTCTTTTTATGGTCTTCCAATGGCGTAGTAGTGAGAAGAGGCAGATTTCTAGCTCTCTTCCAGAAAACACGTTTAATCTTTCAGTGTATGAGGCTTGTCAATTTTCCAGTGAGATCTAGTGCAGGGTCTTCTGATCTCAGCAACTGCTGGTGCTTTTGCACATTCCCACAATTCAGAAATTATCTGAACATGAGATGTTATAAATATATTCCAAGAACAGGCCGTGAATAGATATGGATGTGAAAATCAACAGGAAGTATTACTCTGAATACACATGTAGCAGCAACATGATATGAAATGACCCTGAGTCTAGTGGTTCTTCATGAAATATAAATTACAAAAAGTGCTTTGAAAGAAATTTCTAATTCTAAAATGGATAAATGGAATATTCGCTTCTTCATTTTCCAATTTCTCAAAACGTGCATGATGAAGTTCTTTGGCAGTCAAAGCTATAAAATTAAGGGTCAACTTAATATGATATTATAACTAACTGAATGTACTTGTCACATATTAGGTTTTAGCACCCTAGGGTTAGAAATACCAGTGACAACTGCTTTTTCCTAGGATTAAACAATATAATGCAAATCAAAGAGTTCAAATAATTAGTGGTTTTGGATCTTTGCAGATTGCCACACAATGTTGTTCAATCAATTATTGCAGAAAAAGGAATGTAGATATAACAGGGATTGCTTTTGGATTAGTGACAGTTGTGGACATTAATTCCTATTAGTGAATGAATATATCAACTGTAGTGAAAGGATTCGTTTGCTGGATGATGTCTAAAATGTCTTTGTTTTTGTGAATTTTCTATCAGTTCCATGTCAACTGCATTTATGCTAGTTGCTTAAATACTTTCCTCCTAACTGTGATGAAATGGCAGGCCCATCTCTCTTACTGTTTCCATCACATGTAATGTAGCCTTGTGTTAGATGCACTGACTACTTAAGGGGATTGTGAATTAATAAGGCATGTATGAACCTTATAGACACATTGCTAAAAGAATACTTTCTACCATTTCAATATTTTTTTTGTTTTAGTATGTAATTCAATGTTTATCCTGGGAACTGGTGTTCTATAAATTGAATTCCCATTCGTTCCATCAGCGTTTTCTCTTTTGTTGAGAGAAATAAAGCGAATTGTTGTTATAATACTGGAAAACAGTAGAGGGCAACACAGTTCCATATAACTCCAGTGTAAGCCCAATCTTGATAACTTAATTTCCAGTGTGAGAGCCTGGGGAAGGTGGGCAATGGTGGAACTTACCAGAAGCACACCCTTCTGTAGCCCACTTGATACAGAGCACCAGAGGCTGAAAAGAGTGGCTGTGTCTTGTGGGTGGGTACAGTAGAGGTGGTCATCACCTCAGTGAGATTATGTGGTATTTGTCTTTCTGCATGTGGCTGTTTCACTTAGCATAATATCCTTCAGGTTCATCTGTGTTGTTGCAAATGGCAGGATTTTTTTCTTTGTTAAAGATAAAAAATGTTCTATCATAATCTACTGTATATATCCCCTTTTTTATCTGTTCATCACAACAGATATTGAAGTTGTTCCCATATCTTGACTATTGTGAAAAATTCTGCAATGAACATGGAAGTACAAAAATATCTTCTACACACTGATTTGATTTCTTTGGGCTAGATAACCAAACAGTGAGATTGCTGGACCCCACAGTGGTTGCCAGTGGTGGAGTGGGAAACGGGGAGATGTTGGCAGGACAAATATGCTCTGGAGATCAATGTACAGCAGTGTGACTACAGTTAGCATGACCTTATTGTATACTTGAAATTTGTTAAGAGGATGGAAATTGAGTATTCTCACCATGAAAAGAATAAAAGGGGATGATAGCTCTGTGAGGCAATGGAAATAAAGATGAACTTGATTATGGTGATTATTAAATAATATATTTATATCAAATCAAATTTATATCAAGCTCAGTACCTTAAATATATACCACTTTAATCAATTATTTGAGAGACAGAGGGACAGAGATAGACAGCCAGACAGATAGACAGAAAGAGCTCCCATTTATTGGTTTACTCCCCAAATGCTCACAATAACCAGGGCTGGGCCAGATTGAAGCCAGGAGCTAGGAACTGAATGCAGATCCCCCATGTGGGTGTCAGGAAGCCAGCCACTTGAACCATTGCTGCTGCCTTCCAAGGTCTGCATTAGCAGAAAAGTGGAGTCAGAAGCCACAGCTAGGTATTCAACGCAGGCACAGTGATATGAGATATGGGCATCTTAAGCACTGTCTTAACCAGTAGGCCAAACATCTGCCCCATATATCCTTTTTAATTGTCAATTATGACTCCATAAATAAAGTAAGAAAAGCAGTGTCTCCTGAGGAACCAGAGTTTGATTAAGGTGAGAGGCTGAACAAAGACTGTTCTAAGCTAAGAGGCCACGTGTGTAGAGTAAGGCACGATCATGGAGTTGCAAGCAATTTTGTCTTTAGGAAGAATCGAGTACACGGTAAAGATCCCAGTACGTAAGATGAGACAGTTGTGCAAAGCTCAGCTAGAAGAAAATACTAAATGTGGAGCCAAGGACTTGGCTTTCTACTGCTACTTTACAGAGCTCCTGAATAGCTTTGTTGCCATGAAAAGAGCATGACATTATTTTAAAAATTACCAGGGAAACTATCTATAGAAAAAGCACCTGGAAGAGGGAAATCTAGACAAAAAGTGTATATGGATGTTGCACATGCTACTCAAGTCCAGCTTATGGAAGGAAGTTAATAAATCTGAGTTCCTTCATTAATGAAATGATAAAATCCTCAATTCCCATGTATTCAAAACAGACTAATGAATGTTTTTGCTCAAACAGAAGCAGGAGGTTCTTGGTTGTTAAGGAAACAAAAGGTCAAGTCCAATTGGAAGAAGTGTAAGAATTCCTAGGAAAAGATGATTGTTGATTTGGGTCCTCGAAATAAATGTAGACAGAAAATATCAGAAAAGGCAAAATAAAGAAATGGAACAAAGGGAAGAAGGTGCAGAGCATGCTTTAAAATAAGTGCTCTGCTTGTATAAAACACATTGAGCATTTCTAATTCATAATTTATTTTGTTTATTGTTCACATTATTAGATATAAGATAAGGTGCAAGAAGATGCCTGGTCTCACCACTGTATTAAACATAATCATAGTACTAGGTGTGGAGTAAAAGCAGTAAGGGAAGAAAAGTAAGTAAATTTACACAAATTGGAAAGAAATAAACCAACACTATGTGCTGATGATACAATTATCACAGAATCTCTTGAGGAATCCCAAGATTGTTTAAGAAAGAATAAAGTAGCAAATGGGTTCAGCAATATATTTCTATGTCTGTTGAACATACAGTAACTAAAACTAAAAACACAATACCATTTACAATTATGTAAGAACAGTGAAATCCGTACGTAGAACTCTAGCAAACACATGCAGAATTTACATGCTGAAAACTACAAAACACTATGAAAACAAGTCTGGAGGAGTGAAACGAATAGATGTATTGTGTTCATACACTGGAAAACGGTGTTGTTAAGATGTTCATTCTTCCCAAATTGATCTATTGGCTCAAAACAAATTTTAGCAAAATATCACTTTTGTGGTGTATATAAAGAAACTTAGTTTAAATTCCATGTTAGGAAGCAAAAAGTTTAGAATGATTAAAAAAATATAAAAAAAAGGAAGAATCACCTCACACAATTTTAAAACATCTTAGATAGCCATAGTAATCAGGACAGTGTGGTATTGGCAGAAAACAGAGAACAGACAAAGCTATCCAGCCACGTAAGACCAAATGTGTTTTTTCCCCACAAAGGAGCAAAAGTAACTCAGTGGTGGAAGGATAGTCTTGTCAACAAATAAAATCAGTGCAACTGAAAATCTGAAGGCAAATAAAATGGACCAAATTAAATCTCACACTGTATATGGAAATTACTAAAAATGGACCATACTCTAACAGTGAAACAGAAAAGTATAAAGTTGTTCTGTGAAAGTGTAGAATAGAATCTTTGGTACCTAGGGATAGGTGAATTTCTTAGACATCATGTGATGAGAATGATCCACAAAAAGAAAAACATGATAAATTAGAGTTTATTAAAATAAAAATTGT